ACGGACCCGGACAATTTTGTGAAGGTGAACAGAAAAGAAACACAGTTCTAGAAATATGAAAAGAGACATTTGAGTCAAATATGAGTCCAAGATTATTTTTACTCAATCGCTTTGTGGAACAGTTCTTTTTTTCAAAACTCAAATAGGTGCCGATGACAAGCATCTTGGTTTGATTGAAAGTCATCCTTTGTTTAATCTCAACAACACCTCTAGAAATTAGTTCTTCCTCTTGGCTATCGTTATCCAGCTCCACTATTGTGGGTCTATTTTGTTATTTTGTGTCTTTTTTTGGTCATGGCTCCAGCTTATACCGCCATGAGTTTTCCGTAACTCCTTGTTGATCATTCAAGTCGAACATCTGTCAATTTTTTTAACCCCGTTTGTTACGTGGTGCCCATTGATTCAAAAAAAAACAAAAAAAAAACCATTACATTGCTTTATTTTGTTGAGTGTGCTTTGAGGTCCAAGATTAGGCCTTGATGCCTGACTGAAAAATCTCTTCCCAGCCTTCGCTGTATGTTGTTGAGGAAACAGACAATCTCAAAATCAATGGTCAATGCTTGAAAAGAAGTGCATTTGCATGGGAATTTGTGAGTCAAACTCACATTTTCTGCCTTGTATAAACAGCGACACTGCCAGAAATTTTTCAGTGGGATGGCCAGGGGCGGCCATTTGCGTATCTGTTCATTTTTTTTCTCATACCGTCCACAGTCAGGGATTCATGAAATAAAATTTACACCAGTGGCGATTGCTCTCGGACTGTAAGGGAAGCTCGGCTTCCCCTAAAATGTCAAAGAATAAGTGATCAAATATATGAATGCAAATTTCATTGTGTACATGTCATTGACTAAATATGCGCTACAACGTGCTCAACTTTTGTTCCGAATCAGCTTCTTCTTACTGGTTACGACGCGACTCCCTTATCATTCATTCCCGCAGCTTCGTCGTGTTTTAAACGGTGGACGCCGAGCGTCCGCAGAGAGTCAATTGCCCGGACGCCGGGCGTCTCGAGAGTTCAGGGTAGGTTGTCCCAATGCGTTGAACGGAGACGAGTCGTTGGATACAAACTGGTTTTTGTCCCGCCCACGGACGCCCGGCGTCTCTGGGAGTCTATGGACAGTGGGCGTGTATCGGCCCCGCCTGGACGCTGAGCTTTCTGCATGCCGATTTGGATGATCTGTCTGAGGCGGAATCTCGTTATGATTGACAGCAAAATGAGCCAATCACCGATCTTTTGGTGTAGGCATCCGAGGGAGCATTTTTCAATTCTCATTCTGTTCTGAGTTGAACCGGAGACTTCTAATAATCTCCAATGGCAATACTCTCTTTGTTGATAACGACTAGTGACAGATTAATCTTTTATTTCTGGTGTGTTTTATTGTAGTCGCTTGTGTTCGCAGACTGACTTATATCACCATAGTGAAGAACCTGGAAAAGACGCCTTGTTGGTATGACAGTGTCACAGATCATTTTCTTGAAAAGGAACGGAGAGTAGAATTCACGTATAAATAAACGGACACATTTTATGATATCGGCCAAAACTGAGCTTCCCCTCTTTGACAGACCAGCATCCGCCACTGATTTACACATATCCGTAACAATGACATTCACGCTTACAATATTCTTCTTCTTCTCGTTTCGGCTTGTCCCTTTTCAGGGGTTGCCACAGCGAGTCATTAATTTCCATCTTTCCCTATTCTCTGCATTCTCTACTCTGACTCCAACTACCTGCATGTCATTCACGCTTATAATGAAGCAGGATAAAAGCAACGTAAAAAACATTTTGCTGAGCTTAATTTGCTAGCTAATGCCATTTCCTCTGCAGTAGCTTTGCTTTTGTGTACTCCTTCATAGTCTAATTCATGGCCCCCGTGACAAAGTGAGTTCGATAATTAAGGCCCCCTTGTCCTGCTTTTTAAATCTGTTACAATGATCAATGGCTTAAGTTAGCCTACTATTGAGCCATTAGTAGTTGCCATCAAAGACTTTGAATTGTCATTTTTAGCATGATCTAAAGAGTGTGACTTTGAGAAAATTAATATATTGACTGGGCTGGGTCAAATTTTTCTGCAAGAATATTATCGAGTGAAACATTAACTTTTGTGCAGCGACAATTGTGAATAACATGATTCAACATTGAATAATGTTTACTTTGTCGGCCCTTTTTTGATGGCCATCGCTGTTAAAAAGTGTCTCTGGTGTCACTCTTTACTTCAAATATTTTCTATGATAAAAGAGCAAAAATTGTGATGATTAAAACATTCCCATTTACTTCTCTTGATTTCTGCACAAGCCAATTTGGGTCAAGTCGCGTCACAAAAAGTGACATAAAATGCTTAATTCATAGAAGGGTCTTCCAAACTTTGGCTCATTTTATTCATGGTACAATTATTCATCCATTGATATCCTCTCTTTTGACATGTAGGTGGGCAGAATTTTTTTGTAACGAACCTGCATCGTGGAACTCATTCCGACCTCAGGTTTGGGACAGCTGTGATACTGGTTCGGCCACCGCGCGCATTACTGCACCCGTCCGGGCCTCCCCCCCACATCTCTCAAATTCCCCAGAATTGGAGCTGGAAGGTCCGGTTTGAACTTTTGGGGAGTAAAACTCGTTTGGCAGCAGGGTGGGGACTGCAAAGTCAAAGGGAATGTTGGGGGCAGTGTTCATGAAGCTGGGGCGGGCGGTTGTGATGGATTGGTGGTGTATAAAAAAACGCAAAGCCCAAAAGTTTTGCATCAGTGTCCCAGAGCACTGGTGCAGATAGCCTCACCAACCCGTCGCAACAACGCGCTGTGTGTGCTGCGTAAACATGGCACCTGTCCTGCACACCTTGGCGGTCATATTTGCATCTGTCTTTCTGCAAATTGCATCATCGGCTCATTTCAATGATATGTAAGTAGAGCCAATCTTGACCTTTGCCTCAGCTGAACTCTGGCCGCAGCACTTGACTTAGTTGCTCCCACAGATGAATGAAGATCGTCAACGTTCATTTCAAACTTTGACTTGAAAATAGATGTCTGATTTTTGACGATTCCATAATTTGCTCTATATGCTGTCTGCCCCAAAAATTGCAGCGATGTGACACTTGAGTTGTTTACTAGCACAATATTGGCCCTCTCTCCCTCCGTGCAGCATCTTTGTCAACTTTTGTTCCGAATCAGCTTCTTCTTACTGGTTACGACGCGACTCCCTTATCATTCATTCCCGCAGCTTCGTCGTGTTTTAAACGGTGGACGCCGAGCGTCCGCAGAGAGTCAATTGCCCGGACGCCGGGCGTCTCGAGAGTTCAGGGTAGGTTGTCCCAATGCGTTGAACGGAGACGAGTCGTTGGATACAAACTGGTTTTTGTCCCGCCCACGGACGCCCGGCGTCTCTGGGAGTCTATGGACAGTGGGCGTGTATCGGCCCCGCCTGGACGCTGAGCTTTCTGCATGCCGATTTGGATGATCTGTCTGAGGCGGAATCTCGTTATGATTGACAGCAAAATGAGCCAATCACCGATCTTTTGGTGTAGGCATCCGAGGGAGCATTTTTCAATTCTCATTCTGTTCTGAGTTGAACCGGAGACTTCTAATAATCTCCAATGGCAATACTCTCTTTGTTGATAACGACTAGTGACAGATTAATCTTTTATTTCTGGTGTGTTTTATTGTAGTCGCTTGTGTTCGCAGACTGACTTATATCACCATAGTGAAGAACCTGGAAAAGACGCCTTGTTGGTATGACAGTGTCACAGATCATTTTCTTGAAAAGGAACGGAGAGTAGAATTCACGTATAAATAAACGGACACATTTTATGATATCGGCCAAAACTGAGCTTCCCCTCTTTGACAGACCAGCATCCGCCACTGATTTACACATATCCGTAACAATGACATTCACGCTTACAATATTCTTCTTCTTCTCGTTTCGGCTTGTCCCTTTTCAGGGGTTGCCACAGCGAGTCATTAATTTCCATCTTTCCCTATTCTCTGCATTCTCTACTCTGACTCCAACTACCTGCATGTCATTCACGCTTATAATGAAGCAGGATAAAAGCAACGTAAAAAACATTTTGCTGAGCTTAATTTGCTAGCTAATGCCATTTCCTCTGCAGTAGCTTTGCTTTTGTGTACTCCTTCATAGTCTAATTCATGGCCCCCGTGACAAAGTGAGTTCGATAATTAAGGCCCCCTTGTCCTGCTTTTTAAATCTGTTACAATGATCAATGGCTTAAGTTAGCCTACTATTGAGCCATTAGTAGTTGCCATCAAAGACTTTGAATTGTCATTTTTAGCATGATCTAAAGAGTGTGACTTTGAGAAAATTAATATATTGACTGGGCTGGGTCAAATTTTTCTGCAAGAATATTATCGAGTGAAACATTAACTTTTGTGCAGCGACAATTGTGAATAACATGATTCAACATTGAATAATGTTTACTTTGTCGGCCCTTTTTTGATGGCCATCGCTGTTAAAAAGTGTCTCTGGTGTCACTCTTTACTTCAAATATTTTCTATGATAAAAGAGCAAAAATTGTGATGATTAAAACATTCCCATTTACTTCTCTTGATTTCTGCACAAGCCAATTTGGGTCAAGTCGCGTCACAAAAAGTGACATAAAATGCTTAATTCATAGAAGGGTCTTCCAAACTTTGGCTCATTTTATTCATGGTACAATTATTCATCCATTGATATCCTCTCTTTTGACATGTAGGTGGGCAGAATTTTTTTGTAACGAACCTGCATCGTGGAACTCATTCCGACCTCAGGTTTGGGACAGCTGTGATACTGGTTCGGCCACCGCGCGCATTACTGCACCCGTCCGGGCCTCCCCCCCACATCTCTCAAATTCCCCAGAATTGGAGCTGGAAGGTCCGGTTTGAACTTTTGGGGAGTAAAACTCGTTTGGCAGCAGGGTGGGGACTGCAAAGTCAAAGGGAATGTTGGGGGCAGTGTTCATGAAGCTGGGGCGGGCGGTTGTGGTGGATTGGTGGTGTATAAAAAACGCAAAGCCCAAAAGTTTTGCATCAGTGTCCCAGAGCACTGGTGCAGATAGCCTCACCAACCCGTCGCAACAACGCGCTGTGTGTGCTGCGCAAACATGACACCTGTCCTGCACACCTTGGCGGTCATATTTGCATCTGCCTTTCTGCAAAGTGCATCATCGGCTCATCTCAATGACACGTAAGTAGAGCCAATCTTGACCTTTGCCTCAGCTGAACTCTGGCTGCAGCACTTGACTTACTTGCTCCCACAGATGAATGAAGATCGTCAACGTTCATTTCAAACTTTGACTTGAAAATAGATGTCTGATTTTTGACGATTCCATAATTTGCTCTATATGCTGTCTGCCCCAAAAATTGCAGCGATGTGACACTTGAGTTGTTTACTAGCACAATATTGGCCCTCTCTCCCTCCGTGCAGCATCTTTGCCGTGACCGTGAGCTCCCAGGTGAGAGGAGGGTCGCAGGAAACACTATGCGCCCTCATCCAGGGGCCCACGGAGCCCGTCTCCTTGACTATCACCTTGGACACAAAATCTAACAGCACCGTCATCCTAGAGAAGGATGTCAACCAGGACTTGTTCCATTGCCTGAAATTTCAGGTGCGTTGTCATCGACCCAAGTGTAAATCCACTTCTACACCTGCAGAGAACAGAGACAGGTGATCATCATATCTGGACAAGTTTACAGTCTCTCTGTTGTCTTGCCTGTGTGTGTGTGTGTGTTTGGATGTGTGTGTGTTTGGGTGTGTGTGTGTGTGTGTGTGTGTGCGTGTGTGTGTGTGTGTGTGTGTGTGTGTGTGTGTGTGTTCCTTGGCACTGTAGGTCCCGGAGGTGCGCACTCATACTGTGGCAACCATAAACGTCACTGTGAAAGGGGAGAATGCCACCATGAACAAGAAGACCAAAATCCTCATCGAGCCTCCTGCATTCATCCACATTGTCCAGACTGATAAACCCATCTACAAACCCGGGCAGACCGGTACGTATCACCACAATCAGACAGTCCAAATATTGAGAGTTGAGTTGGGGTAAGGCAGGAACGTTGAATCAATTCAAACTCCAAAAGAGGTGATGAACCGAGCTGTCAAGGAGAACAGTTGCTATTTCCGCATCACATCGGAATCCTTGCCGAAGGTTTATTCACGCTGTCGAGTTGTTGGCCAATGAGTAAGGGACATTTCGTTATTTTCTGGCGGTGGATATTCCACCACAGTTTCAGAAAAAGCCCCTGAAATACAAGGTCACAGGTCCGCTCATGAGTGTGCATGCCAGTGCACGACAAACAATTGAACGCCTCATCAGTCTCGCCTTCTTTCTGTGATTGGTTAGTTTTCCTCAGGCGTGGTCGCTGATTGCAAACCAAATTTGAGACACTAGATGGGGCCAGAGAGTGCACATTTTTTTTCACAGATTTTACTTACTCCTGCTGTGGTCAAAGTCATCATATCACAATTTGAGTCCTTTCCAAATACATTTCACGTAGAAATTTTTGACCTCGACAACCTACCGAACAGAGTGAAAAATGCCCTCCTTCCGGCTTTCCCTGCATATAATGTATTTAAAGCAATTGCTCGAAACTTTTTCTCATTGCCTACATTCCTTTACAGTGCAGTTCCGAATTGTTTCCATGGATTCCAATTTCATCCCTGTGGACCGCCTGGTAAGTTCTCAATTTGTTTTGAAGTGACTCCACCCTGTGTGGAAATGAAAAAGCGCAAGACAGCACGCGAGACGGGAGGAGACAGTTGGGCACAAGTTGTGAACATCCTATCCAGCTGAGGCATTTTAAAGTCAGTTGTCAATGTATCATAATTACTGCACCTCACGTTACTTTATATTTTACGAAGATTCCCTATATCGTCTGCCAATTGATCTTTGCATCGGAACTACTGCCAGTGAGTTCAAAACGAACATGACGGCAGGCACCGTGAACAGATTTCATTCAGTGATTTGTGAATGGTCGAGAAAAAAACAGAAGCACTTATGAATGTGCCTTTCAACGATAATGCCAAATTGGTAGCCATGTTGTGAGCAACAAGTCTCAACAATACAACATACTACTGCAATCGATCACAAAGCACAGACATGGGATTTAGATTTTGTTTATGGTGTTCATAAATTTACCACACTGTACCAAAAGGATCTTTTCTCCGGCTGGTGATTTGTCTGGACTGGACAGGTGTGGCGATTTGAATTGACCGGGTGGATGCTGGTCTGTCAATCATGACGTTTGTGGCAAAACATCCCATTGGCAGTAGAGTAAAGGACAAAAGAATAATTCAAATTAGATTGAGGGATATTCACCCAGCTCCAAAATGGATTGAACATTTCATAAGCCAACACCTGGTTCGAACACACAACCCAGCATTTTTGATTGCGGACAGGGAAGTGGAGATGTGAGCTGGTAGAATGCTAAAATGCACTACGTGCAATCAAAGAGCACCAATGCCAGCGTGTCATGAATTGGAAAAAATTCGTTCCAACATACAACAATGCTGCGGGTGCTCCGACAAGTAGCTACTGACAGTAAAGGGCTCTTTATGGATAGCTTGATGTGCCATATTGACATGTTAATCTTGTCCAGACAATGTGTAACACTTCTTTGTAAAATCAAATGCCAAGTAATTTTCAGATACTGTTCACGCGCGCCTCGCTCAAGGTACACATACGATATTGTACGGGTGCTTAATTCGACGGGATAATGTTTTATAATTCAGATATATAATTATTTCAAATGTATGAAAAATATACATACAAATATAAATTAAGCATTTGCATTTGGAAGTATGCGCGGTTGCGTCTTTCTAGTTCAGGATATTTATGTATTATGTTTTTATTTTGCTTGAAGCCCTGCAAATGGTAATGTCAGTGTCCAATAAGATTCCTCAAATGTCATTGCCAGCATATGTTTTCATGAACATTTAAACTGCGATGTGATGTTGTGACGTATTTCCAAGAAACTGCCAGTCACGAGTCTGACTTGTCCGTTTGTTCTTTTTCAGTACACAGTGGTGGAGCTCCAGGTAAGAATCCCATTTTGAGCCACATCAACAACTTAGGCTGTATTTCCATAGACAGTGCACATGCTCTTGCCGTAAAAACTGGCGCACCTTCAGGTCGCTGCCAGGGCAAGTCTAGTTTACCGTGTTTGGGAAATAGGCAGACCGCGTTTGTGCCACGCTGGGTGTTACGGTTGACTGAGGTTATTTTTCTTTTACGCGCCCCGGGCGCATATGACAATTTGGTGACAAAAAGTAGACGTGACTTTAGAGCAGGTAAAACCAGGTCCAAGTTGTGGCGCAGTGAGAGTAATGTGACTTTGGTGAATTTGATCCAGGCATAGGCAGACAGATTCTACGCTCAACGAACATGTGTCATGGATGTCATTGTATTTCTTTCATGGATATCACAACAGCATGAATAGAACCCCATATGAAAACCACCCACCCACCTTGGCCGTGACACAGCTATGCGAGTGGAGGGTGTCACAGCGGTCAGAGGTGGTCTCCAATTGCCCTCTTTATAGTGGTGATCTGGACTGTGATGACTTGCCAACATGACGTCATCCACCTGTGGAGTTCTGCCTGCAGTTCCTTGTAAACGTATTCTGTGTGTGTGTGCGAATCATTGCCGCTTCCGCAATGTCGAAGACTGTTTGCGACTCTCCGACACTTGATTGACTGGGAGTGAGTGGAGCCGCCTCCATTGGCCAGGAATTTTTGCTGTTGTCAAAATTGGCTTTCCCACATTTAACAACAAAGGGCTAATTGGAATTGGAATGGAAGCTTTTTTTTTTTTTTTTAATTCGACAATGATCAAAGCTGGAATTCTCACTGAACACGAGCCACAGAAAGTTAAAAGAATTGTGCTGTCCTTCTTCAAGTTGTCTGGTGATGGTCACTTGCAACACCACGATGACAGGGGGCTAATCGGCACATTTTTGTCTTTTTTCTGTCTGTCCATGTAGGACCCCAATTCCAATCGGATCGCTCAGTGGCTGGATAAATTTGTTTCGGCGGGAATCCTTGATCTTTCCCATCCCATGATTGAAGAGGCAACACAAGGAACCTACGTTATTACCGCCACCACGGACAAAGGAGAGAAAATCTCCCACAGCTTTGACATCAAGGAATATGGTCTGCTATAGTTGCGACGCAATGCTTGTGCTCGCTTCACCTTCCTTTTTTGGTTCATGAGCATTTATTCTTGTTCTTTCTTTAGTTTTGCCCAAATTTGAGGTAACTGTTGACCTCCCGAGTGTGATCTCAATCTTGGACCAGGAGGTCACGTTCAAGATTTGTGGAAAGTAAGTGTTTTAAAACTGAGTGAAAATGTTTGACATCAAATGTCTTGTCATTAGTCTGAAATGTTAATTTCCGAACGGCACTCACCATTGCTGCACGTGAGCTATAATAAAGTTAAAACTGTCTGATTGCGCTTACGTTTTGCTTCTCCGGTCAGATACACTTACGGGAAGCCAGTTGTTGGCTCAGTCAAGGCGGAGTTTTGTCGGAATGCCGTCCACTATTTCTGGCATTCCCCGATTCGGACAAATATCTGCAAGACATATGAACTGGAAGTGAGTAGCTGACTTCGAACTAATATTATCTGTCCCTTCGTGGAAATGCATGAACTGCATTAGTTTAAAATTGTAACACTCTCCCAGACCGATAGCAGCGGCTGCACTACACAAAATGTGAGCATGGTAGATTTTGCCCTCTACAATTATTTGTATGAGGACAGTTTTGTGGTGGATGCTGAACTGGAAGAGCGTGGCACAGGTAAGCCAGTGAAACGCTTTGCTAACCATGATGTTGCCAATACCACTTGATGACCGGTTCGAATGATGAATCCAATTTCCCATTTAGGTGTGATGCTGAAAGGTACAGGGCGGACACCCTTCAGTGCCGTTGTCAGAACAGTTACTTTTGAAGATGTGCCCCAATCCTACAAGCCTGGCATCATATTTCAGGGAAAGGTACTCACTCTTTTTCAAGTGGTATGAAAGCCAACATAAGACCATGTCCAACTAATGAGCCCAAGGACAAATTGCCCTCAAAAGCGGTTCAAGTACACTCAAATCCAGAGAGATTTGGACCGTAGCGGTCATCGATTTGGATGACAGTCATCACAATGTCAAGAACGTTGAACATTTCAGCTCTAATTTTCTTGAAAAGGTTTTAGTACACGAATACTTGAAGAGGAAATCAACCCCATTTTTGATAACTTTAAACATGGCATTCTGATTACTATTGTTTTGATTACAGTAAAATCCACCCGTTTTTGTCCATCTCAGAGGGCGGCCATTTTGTCACTTGCTGTCAACTGAAAATGACATCACAGTCGCTCAGGGCTCAGGTAACCAGGCATGGCTCAGCTTCAGCAAACAGGTGAGCCGTCGTTGGTCGTGACCTGAGTCCTGAGCAAGTTGGAGGTCATTTTCAGTTGACAGCAAGTGGCAAAACAACTGCCCCCTGAGATGGCTGATTCAAATTTCGCAACATGAATCAAAATTCCCTGTTTAGATTCATGGGGGTGCATAGACCATATTATTGTAAAGAAGATTTTTGGGTTGACTTCCCCTTTCAAAAGAAAAGATCTCAAACCAATCGAGCACTCTTGTGACTCAAAGAACAAAAAAGCTAAGGTGGGTACTGGTTAGAGTGCTCTGACAAGGCTTCTCCAGGAATGAAATGATACAATTTGTTGATTGGCTCAGTTTTTTGGTTTTTTTTGCTTTAAATATCAAATATTTACTATTTCATCCCAATGCTTTTGACAATAGATCAGCTATGCTTAACATAGCTGCAAGTCCTTTCTACCATAGTCCTAAAAAAACATCTAAAAGGCGAAAATATAAACTTCAATCATAATAAATGTATTTTCATGATTTTACTGGCTTATATGGTGAAGTATTTTGGGTCCATACAATTTAAATGCTTAGTTGTTCAAAGTAATGTGGCAACATCAGGAGTTTAATTCATTCGTGATCATTTATGATTGTGAGTCTCTAATGTAGCGAGCTGGTCAAAGAAGGGAAGTTCAGATGGTGGCGCTGCGATTAGCGCTTTTTGTAATTGCTGCTATTCGGTCGCCAGGATGCCACCAGAGAGACCAAAGTACGAACCAAGCCCAACCATGCTTGACCGCACTTCTAATACTAAATTGTTGACGTGCATGATGGGAACATGTTTCATTTTGTAGGCTATTTAAGCGACCAATTTAAGGTGTATCCATCCAAAACCTGAAATGGCTCAACGTTTTTTCCCCAATCTTCTTGTTTGCAGCTCAAATTGACTGGACCGGACAACAAACCTGTCGCCAATGAGCCCGTTTACTTATTCAGCCCGAACTCTCTCACTTTAAAACTCACCACAAACTCAGAAGGCATGGTCTCCTTTACTCTGGACACCAGCAACTGGAGCGGCTATGTCAACCTCAAGGTTTGTGACAAATGTGTTGTTTTTTGGCTGCTGTGGTGCACATTTGAGGAATGAAGTCCTTTTGGTTTTTTGGTTTGTTTGTTTAACCAACACAGTCAGAGGCTAAATATGTCAAGATAAGTACGAGCAAAATGTTATCATCTAATGTCCTGCAATGACCGTATTTTTAGGACTATAAGTCAACTTGGTTTCATAGTTTGGCTCATCCTCTGATTTATACTCAAATGTAATTTGTATATTATGAGATTACAATTTGGACAAGCACCACTACACCCCGTTCAATACGATGTGTTCTGAAATTGATTTTGATGCCATAATGCCACTCTGGGAGTGGGTGCGTTCTGAAATAGTCACCAAGTGCCCAAAGTGATGTTCAAATGTGTTGTTTGGTTATTCAGAGTGCCCAAAGAGTACCGGAAATCCAGTGTGTCAAGGAAGGCAGGTTGCAGAAATCGATGGGATCTCTGCATCCTGACTCCAAAAGTACACACAACACACATAATTTCCAAACACAAACAGGCATGGCAAAACTTCCGCGTCCCGCTACATCAAAGTTTTTGTTCGATCTCGGGAATAATCTGAAGAGAGGTGGATTCCACAAGTGTAGACACAGAAAAGGTTTTGAATTTTTTCAAAAAAGTGTCTTTCCAAAAACGCAAGACCAACAAAGACGCTGGAAACAAAGAACCAGGAAATAACGAAACAAATCAAAAAACGCTCACAAAAGGCAAATTTGAATAAAAACATAAAGAGCTTGTCACAGGAGAATACCTGTACTTTAACCGAGGAAAGAAGAAAAAGGAAATACAAGGAACTACGTCAACAAGAAATGTGAAGAGAAGCTACAGTATAAGGCAAAAACAATGAACGGTGAGAACGGGTGTCCGAACTTGGTCCTCAAGGGCTGCTGTCCTACCTGTGTTCTCGCTCTCCCAGGAGCAACACACCTGATTTAAAAAATCAGGATCATGCTGCTTCAGAGCTGGTTGATGAGCTTATCATCTGAATCAGGTCTGTTGCAGCCGGGAGAGCTGGAAAGCAGGCAGGATAGTGGCCCTCCAGTACTGGAGTTGGACATGCCTGGTCTAGGACATTCAAGGCACTTGGAGATTCGCATCGTGAGCAAGGCTGTAATAATCCGACAGCCAGTTGTCGGTGGGGCAGTTTTTAAAGGCAGCTGGTAACGAGGCACGATGAGAAACAGGTGGCTCAGGGGGAAACACCCAGTCTCCAGCTGGATACTGGAAAAACAAAGCAAAGCGGACAGGATCACGACAGTTTTTTGATTTAAAATGGCTTACTTTCACTATAATAGCGCGACTTATTGCGGCCAAAGGTATCATCCTGGAGCTTGGTGGTGCTATAGCCCAATCAGAGCAACATGTGGAGCCCCAGTCAAGCCCTCCAGCATTTTATTTGATATTCCAAAATATAAATCTTTAAAAAAATTTTTTTGACGCGCCACTTCCCCGTGCAATGGTCAAGTTCCCCCCCACCCCCACCCCAGCCCCAGGAGAGAAAATATAAAAGATCCTGTAGCCATGCCTGGCCGCTGCCGTACATTTTTGCCACCAGCTTCACGCTTTCATCTGCAAGTAGATTGTAAATAAGGTTACGTATTTTTGTCGGATCCAGTGCATACATACTGTATTTTTATGTCTTTGCGGCGGCCAGATGTCTCTCCCCCGCTTAAACCTGGAAATTGACTTTTTCGTCTGTGTGAAAACTTCTGTGTGCATTTTGATTGCCTATAATTTGCAACGTTGCCACGTAGCACAACAACCGACGTCATCCTAAATTTCAAAAATATCGACTGGCTCAGAATTTCACCATTGTTTTGTTTTTGTGTTCACAGGCCATATCCACACTGGACGATGACAAACTGTCCATTCCAGAAATACGGAAACCCGAGTACAGAGCAGCCTATCATGGCGTTCCTGTCTTCTACTCAAAGAGTAGGAGTTTTCTGAAGCTCATGCAGTTTAGCGAGAAGATCTCCTGTGACAAAGACGCCGTGGTACGAGCTCGGTACATCATCCAGGGAGAGGAGCTCAAGGAGGGACAGATGACCTTAGACTTTTTCTACTTGGTGAGTCCAGTTGGTCACTGTACTGGCAACTTCAGCCTGCACAAGAAATTTGAGCATCGTCTAACAAGCACACAGAATACACCCGTTTCAAACGTACGTGTGTGGGTAAGGTCACACTTGGCTTTGATTCTATCTGTACTTCTTAGGTGATGTCCAAAGGAACAGTTGTGGAGCATGGTCATCTCCCGATAGCTGTTACAGTGGGCTCAGGTAATCTTTAATGTGAAATGATTTCATTGTGAATGGGTTTCTTCCACATTTTGATCATTTGATAGATAGATAGATAGATCGATAGCTTTTTCATTCTTCTGCTTGGATGTTTTGACTTGTCAGTCAAACATGCTTTCGAATGTAATTTCATTGCAAAACCATGAAGAGTGACCGTTTTTTTCCTGGTTGAAACATTGTGGATTTCATTCTGCAACGTCTTGTTCTTGCCTCTGTCAGTGAACAAAGGGGAGGTGACCATCCCCCTCCATCAAGCGATCGACCTGGCGCCCTTTGCACAAGTTGTAGTTTATACTGTGTTGCCTGGTGGCGAGGCTGTGGCTGACAGCCAGGACTTCCCCATCGAACTCTGTCTCAAAAACAAGGTTGTACCTGGTGATGACCAAGCACAAATGATACATACTTACCCTCTGAATGAAATTAATGTTGTAAATGGTGTAAAGCAAGAGATCATTTGAAATCGCCACTGACCCCAACTGTTGTCTTTTGTTCAGGTCTCTCTTGAGTTCCCGTCCGTCCAGGAGCTTCCAGCGGAGAAAACCACATTGAAACTCCAGGCTCAGCCTGGCTCTTTGTGCTCTGTTCGAGCCATTGACCAGAGCATCCTATTGCTGCAGTCAGAGAAGGAACTCACTGTTGACTCTGTAAGACAACTTCTACTTCAAACCAAAACATGCATCAACCCCATTTCTAAAAATTCGAAGAAAACACATTGTTTTTTTATGTAACGGTTGCACACTAGAGCACCTTGCCTCAGAAAGAGAATGTTCAGGGTTGAAATCTGTTCGCTGGGGCTAACCTAAGACTGACACATCACCGTTTTTAATGGCTTGTGTGATGGAGTACACTTTTCACCCAAGTCTGTCTGGAACCGCATTAAGCGGAGAACATCTAACTTTCAGCAGCAAATTAGCAGCCCGATTTAATCAGTGTCTTGACTCCAGAGAGAAAATCAGACTCGCTAAATAGAACCAGCAACTGAAAACGAATCAATTTCTGTTATGATACACGTCAGCCAGGAGGCTTGGCCTGCAAAATCAAAGGTAGCGTATTTTCCAAGACACAGGGACAAATAACAAATCACACCGAGGGTTTGAGTGTTCCATCAACATTCCATGCACTTTTTTGCAATAGAGGAGCAAATCAGTGGACCCATCGAAAACCCACACAGGTACAAGGGGAAAATGCAAACTCCACACAGGGAGTCCAGAGACCAGATTCAAACCCATGACATCCGCACTGTGAGGCAGATGTGCTAACCTGTCCGTCATCATGCTGTCCTCCCTGGGATAACCTGCTACCAAAAATTGCTCCTCAAAATTAGAAAGTTGCACTTCAAATGAAGTCACTGATTTGATCATGTGTTTCACTTGGTGTAGGTGTACAATCAGCTGCCTCTGCAGAAGCTGACGGGATACCCATATGAGATTGAAGACTTTGAGCCATTTCCCTGCTTTCCGGGGCCCATACCATTCCCTGAAGAAGAGATGCTGGTGGCAGAGAGCTCACTTTATTTTGGACGAATCACTCAAAAAAATGATGTTTTCAGCATCTTCAAAGTAAGGCTTTGGACTTGACTCTAACGGAGGCTACATCAAGTACTACTGATATTGACCTGTGTTATTTTTAGGGGACGTTAATATCGGGAGCACTCACAATCGGTGACCTGCTGTTGCAAACTCATTGAAAAGTCTAAATAATCTGTAGAATAAGCAAGGTCCTTTTATTTTGAAAATGGTGTTTTGGATAGCCCATTTCCCGTGTCACTTTCGGTGTCATGAATGCTACGGTTGTGATGTGTTTGTGTATTTGCATGCTTGAGTGTTAGAAGTGTGCAAGAGAAAAGCGAACGTAGCTGAAAGCAACGATGTGTTTTCTATTGTTAGCATTGTTCTTTTTCACAGTGGATGGAAGATGAGGATTTTTTTTTTCACTTTGAATGATTTGAGCGTCAGGTATACATGGACCACACCTTGACGTAATGTACTAAAATGACGTTGCCAAATTGAAGATGTGAATAAGTGGAGCAATCAGTGAGGTGCCTCGTGCTGCGTCAACCCAGACCAACCGTTTTCAACTCAAAGATACCAGATATGACTGGACTAAGATTGGACGAGTCACACATAGGATTAATTCTATCGATATATAGCTGGAGGGCATTCCAAAGTGAAGGACCGGCACCAGAAAATGAAGTGTGAGTTTGTTCCTGCAGATGATGCAGTTCGCAGATTATTTGTGCGTTGATTGAAAGAAATCACTTCCTATCTGAACTTGTTGCGCGATGGTTCTTTCAGCAAATTTGGTTACGATTAATCGATGGCTGTGATGTATTGCAGTTCAGGCTTTCGTTTCGCTGATCCACCGCCATGTTTTGGGAGTACACACGGTCAGAGCTGTGGGTGGATTTCTCGCGGACAAATGCAGATTGATACATTCCACACTTTGCGTGGGAACGTTGGACGCATGCTTCACGCAGACTTCTGTGCGTACACACGCATGATAAATGAGGCCCCTGGTCTTGTACAACAGGCAGTAACCCACACTTTAGTCGCAGGTAATCAATATAACGGTTTAGGTTTAACCAAGATGTTTTGGGAAATTCAACCGAGAATGCAGAATGTGTATTTACGTTCCAACATGACAGTTTCCCAGTTCACCAAGCAAACTCCATAACTGATGAATAAATGTCATTCTTGATTTCAGGGGATTGGAGTCAAGCTTGTGACAAATTCTGATGTGAAGAAACCCTACAACTGCCTACTTAGGGATCCGTATTTCAGTGAAGGTGGGCTTGCAACAGTAAAAACTTCAATCTCTCACTATATCGCGATTTTGTAGCATGAACTGCTTGCTGATTTCTCATTTGAACGCGTCTAGTTTTTGTTCCCAAATTCCACCACTCGAAGAGTTCCACTCCTTCAACTGTGGAAATAAACAGCCACTATTTGTAGAAAAAGATCAAATTTTCCAGCGCAGAAAACGGAGCATTGCTGTATTTGAATTTATCTTCATAGGTGATGGCGTAGATGGTCCGGTTTTGAAGCCCACCAATGTGATAGAGCACACTGGTCAAGGACCAGAACCCGAGGAGAACAAGGAGGAGACCCTGAGGACATTCTTCCCAGAAACATGGATCTGGGACCTCGTTCCTGTTGGGTAAATATGTTCAAATGGCACATAATCACAACTTTATTGAAAAGTTAAGTAGTTCTGTGAGGTCTGATCTCAAAGCAACTTGGTGTGTGTGCAATGCCTTGCGTGTGTTTAGAGACGCAGGAACAGTGAATGTGGAGAAGACCGTCCCAGACACCATCACCCAGTGGGCCGCCGGAGCTTTCTGCGTCTCGTCTGTGGGCTTCGGCGTTGCGCCCACCACGGCGCTAACTGTCTTCCAGCCCTTCTTTGTCAGTCTCACGCTGCCCTACTCTGTCATCCGTGGGGAAATGTTTACTCTCAAAGCCACTGTCTTCAACTATCTCTCCAAGTGCATCATGGTAAATATCAATGACTCATTCAAGAAGTAACATTTTGGATAGGATTCAAAATGATTTTATTTGGTTCCTTGATGGAAACTGGCATCTCTGTCCTGGATCACAGACTCTCGTAGTCTGCAATAAGCATTGGGAGAACGAGCCAAGACCGCCCGTGTGGTTTATGCATTGTGCATACAAACTTTCTTTGTTTGCGGTTTGTGTACAATGGCTATTTAAGTGAAGACACACCTGTTAAAAATGGCACCATATATGATTTTTGAATTGTAACTGCCCCCCACCCCCTGTGCTAGTAGAGATGAGAACCTCCAGAAGGACTTGCTGTATTCTTTTGTACATGTTTGCCTTCTAACACTGGCAAATATGTCGCTGTGTGTCTGCAGGTGAAAGTGACACTGGCTCAGTCGGACATGTATACCTTCAAAAACTGCGACGAATGCCAATACACCGTGTGTCTGTGCAGTGAGGAGAGCAGAACCTTAACTTGGATTGTCACTCCAACCGCCCTTGGTATGAATAACGACATCACTTTAAATTATTTTGCCTTCTGCATCTCCCTATGATGACTGTGATTTTCAGTGAATCATTCATTAGGTAGAATGCTTTTTGAACTCACAGGTCGAAGAACACTCGACTGTTGACATACTGATCATGCCTGAAATTAATGACAGTGAATAAGACTGGAACCTGGGTGAAAAAGTGAAATTCCTAGAAAGGGGTGGGGGCGGGGTCCGTATCAACCCTAAAAATGAATGAGTCCAGAAAGATGTACACTGTCAATTTTTCTGAAGGTTGGAGTGAAGACGCATGCCTTCACGCAGCCTCTGAATAGGACTGTTTGTTTGCACTCAGGCAAGATCGATCTGAAGGTGAGCGCCGAGGCCATGAGGACCAGATTTCTGTGCGGCAATGAGGTGGCTTCTGTCCCTGACGTGGGCCGCATTGACACCGTGGTCCACAGCCTGCTGGTGGAGGTCAGTTCCTGTCAGATGCTCCAGATCTGACTGCACTTGACTGCGCTGACAGAACGTCAGCAGATGTGATTGTGGAAGTGGTGGTGATTGCAAGGGCACGTGACTGACAGGGCTCTGAGAAAATCACATTCTCTCTTGGCAGCCGTCGAGTGAGCTTTTCTTTCTGAATCTGTTGGCCTTATCTGCTTTGAGGCCGTAGAAATGCAATGTCTCATTGAACTAAACACAGATGGACGCCAATCAAGGTCGCAGAAGGTTGCTTGGCCTTTTGAAGAGCCCTACGCCATGTCAAATGTATTTGGGTCGGGGCTCTGGCTTGTTGTGTTGTGCAAGTACCGGTAACTCCCGTGGAACATTTCCCATGTTGGTTTCTCTTGTAGGCCGAAGGAACGCCCCAGTCAGTCAGTCACAACGCGCTCCTCTGCGCTGCAGGTACGGTTTTGCAACGAGAACTTGTCGGGACTGTCTTGCCGGACACCGTTTAGGAGCTCCTTGTTTTACACAGAGGAAAGTTTGATCGATGAATTTTTGTTTTGTTGCTGTCATAGCAAAAATAGGGTTCGTCATGATCCAGATTTACCTTCATTTATGTGCGAGCTCTTTTCTGAAATGTTTGATTAACTCAAACGGTAACGCTTGTAACTTTGGAATTAATAAGTATTCAATCTTTTCTTCACCTTCAAGAATCCCAAAGTTGCCATTTGTTTATAATCAAGGAAACCTTTCCAGTTGAACTTGCTCTTATTGCAGTCGAGTCTCATCAGATGCGAACACAATTTGCTCTTTGTAAGCAGGATGGCAACCTGTCATTGCAAATCCCAAATGCAGGTTGCGCCACGGGCCGCAATTTGATTCGAATTTGGAAAGTCCTATTTACCGGTCAAAAGGTTCGTGAGATCCGATGGTAAAATTTCATCTTTTCTCTTTTGGATCGAGAGGAAATGTGAAATGAAACTTGAGGAACTTTGATTTAAAGTTTCCCATTGATCTTTCTCGTAGTATTTGAAATCATTTTAACGCTGCTTCTATTTGGAAAGTGGAAGCCTTCAATGGTCTGAGTACTCATTCACGCATTCTTTTTGCATACTCTTTGTTGCCAGAGGGACCGGCGGAAAAGAACATCTCTCTTACATTGCCACAAGTGTTTGTGCCAGGATCTGTCAGAGCCACTGTCTCTGTACTTGGTAAAAAAATAAAAAATAAAAAAAAAACCCTCTTGTTTGCGCTCTTTTCAGAGAACTGCTCTTTAGATTTTTTTTTTTTTTTGCCAAAGGTGACTTGATGGGCCGAGCCATGAAGAACCTGGACCAACTCCTGGCGATGCCATATGGCTGCGGGGAGCAGAACATGTTGCTCTTTGCCCCCAACATCTTCATTCTCAACTACCTGAAAATCACCGGTCAACTGACTGCGGAGATTCTGGACAAGGCAACGCGCTTCCTCGAGAGCGGTGAGTCATTATTCCCACCGAGGAGCTCAATAAAACGCAAACTACCTTTCATCATCAAAACCGTTGGGAAAATAAGATCGTGGAAGGCACTTATTATTTATTCCTCCCTCTCAATGAACGTGTCTCAAGACTGTACTTGCTTGCTACTCGGTTTGTAATTATTTCAGATGCATGACTTGCATTCAAAAATGTATGGCCGTATGATTCTCTCCGTGGGCATTTGTGGTTGATAAAATTAGTCTTGGAAGCGACAGAAAATATCCAAGCCAAGCCGAGTCACATCACATGCGGCAGCGTGCGTGTGTTTGGTCTCAATCCAAAATGTGACGTGTGTGTTTGTGCATGCATGTGTGTTCCAGGATACCAAAGGGAGCTCACCTACAAGCATGACGATGGCTCCTACAGCGCCTTTGGGAAGAGCGACGCATCTGGCAACACCTGGTCAGTAGGAAAGCCGCAGAGTTCATCAGTGCTTTGTATCAACAATTTCAAATGATTGACCTTTTGGGGGAAACAAATCAAATATGTCTCAGGAACACACAACGTAGTGCAGTTGCATCAGATGGTCGAGAACATTTTGAAGTATTTACTCCTTTACTATGCGGTGACTTTATTCAGCTTAAAGTTCACACTTCATTTGATACGAGACTGAAAATGGCAGCCGACGTATGTTTCTGGCGTGCCTATCTTTCTGGTTTTGGCACCAGAAAATACTCCAGCCATTTACTTTGCGAGGCTGCTGCCAAGAAATATTTGCGTTTCGTTGGCTTAAAACACGCCTGAGGGGGGATTGGACAATCACCGTTTTGTTTTTTTCTCCTGAATGGATGCTGCGTAGTTTGGCACTTGGGGATGGCTGTTTGTGGAAACGAGGACTCAAGTGTCCAATCATATCAATATTTGCTGAAAGAGTGGACGAAACAGCTTCAATGTGTTGCGTTCTTGAAGTGGCTAATGTAGGACAGTAATCTTGGCTGCATTCATCACATCCACATTGCAAGGGGTTGGGAGCTTTTAGGTGAACAAATAATAACAATAAATTCGGCTTTTTATAGCATCTTTCAAGGGACCTAAAGAAGCTTGAAGTGAAAGGAAGGATTTTATTTTGCCTCTTGCCCATCCCCACTCCCTTCAAAGAGTCTGATTTGCTCAAATTTTGAATGTGCACATATAACGAACACTGAGTATTTGTATCTGATTGTTCATTTCTGGTTGAATTTTTACTTCAGTGGTAACGAGATTGCAGGGGGATCCTGGAGGGTTACACTGTGATCATATTTGATTCATATTGTGAATATTTTCGTTTGCAATCAAAAATGTTGCTGCCCCTCAGTCAGATTCAGCTGAACTCAAGCTCAGAGACTTCACGTCACACACAGGGTCGAGATGCGATTGTTGTATGGTTGGTGTTACTTCCACAGGCACGCTGCGCTTTGATTTGTTTTCAGAAGTCTCTCTCTCTCTCTCTCTCTCTCTCTCTCTCTCTCTCTCTCCCTTTCTAGGCTGACCACCTTTGTGATGAAGTCATTTGGTGAAGCGAAGGATTACATCTTTGTCGATCCCAAGCACATTTTTGATGCCAAGAAGTGGTTGTACTCAAAGCAAGGGAGTGACGGCTGCATCCAATCTGTGGGCAAACTCTTCCACAATGGCATTAAGGTGATGACGCCAGTATCCTCGTTGACATGCTTGCACGCGATGAACCCAAAACTCTCAGCCACAATGTGACCACTCGCGCAATCGTAAGAGATACAATCTGATGTAGGGATGGTCCAATGCGATCCATTAGATCGGTATTGAGTTTGATTATGTCCAAAATGACTGGATCCGTATCGGAAAGGTTTTTTTTTAATGAGATGTCCAATCCAATCCATAAACCCAAACAAAATCACTTTGCAGAGACGAGCTGTTGCCATGCGTTTTCGTCATGCGAGCAGTTGTTGGATTGTGATTGTGGAAAAACAGTCTTCAATGTTTATTGCTCACGCCAGTTTCTAATGCTCATCCCTGGAGGGGTTTGATTCGATCAGAAGATGGAGCAATATATTGTAGAATAACTTCAATATTTACTCTACAGCGCCCCCCCCCCCCGCCGCCCCCATAGCAATAATGCAAAACGCAGATCAACACTTAATATAACATAATGTGAATATGAGTAAAAAATCTCCTTCTCTGACATGAACGAAAAGCAAGTGCATGAACATCGGAAGCCATTCAGGCGGCCGGGACTTTTATTTGCTCAAAGTATTGCCACCTTGGTTCAACAGCTGGAAACAAATCCACACACTTCCTTCGCAGCTGTGCCAAGTGACCACCGCCTGCTTCTTTTTGGCTCGTGTTGGCAGCTGGGCTGGCAATGTTGTCCACGTCCACAGACCGCAATCATTATATTTTGTCCTACATTGTCAAGTGTCCACTTTTGATGTGGCGTGTATGTGACGCAGTCAGAAAATCATCGAAGCCGTTAGGCTGTGGCGTTGCTTAACACATTCGGTCTTCACTTGATATGTAATCGCGTCATGAGAATAGCTCAAACCACGATCGGCATCTTAACTGTTGAAAATGGCTTGCTCTCTTTGACAATGCAATCCACGCATGCTGTTTTTGGCGTCTCCTGAAAAGGGCTTATTTTGTAATTAGTGTGTCTATATCCAATATATATTATTCGGTTTATTGCTCCTGTCTGCTCGTTGAATGTTCCAGGACCAATGTAAGAAGTGCAGTATATATATGATTCATGAATGCATATGTTAATGTCTCATCAGGGAGGAGTGAGTGACGACGTGTCCCTAACGGCTTACGTCGTTGCCGCCCTGTTGGAAATGGACTCCGACATTGAAGTGAGTGTGACGTCACTCCCATTTTGAAAGCATTTGGCCGCCAACCTCATCGGGTGTCATGCTTGGTTCGATCTTCATTTTTCAACGTATGAATATGGATATAATACGTGGACATTTTTGTGTTCATCGCACCTTGCCAGCTGTGATGTTAGCTGTTCGCTGTCTGCGTCCTCCTGGACGCGATCGCCAACCTTCCTATTCACCTTTATTCATCCAATAGAACAGCAGATGCGTCTGGCCGGTGGTGTCAAATGTCGTTTCGTTTTTTTTCGAGCGCAGTTCAACATGGGATTAGCATTTGAGAAAATGTCACTCTGGGAAGATTTAGAATTTTTTAAAGAAATTAATCAATGGTGCCTCTGCTGTTTGCACCCAAGTCAGGCAGTCGATTTTTTTTCCATGCACAATTTTTCCACAACTACCAAATTACAGCGCACTTAACACAGAATTTACCAAGCTGGTTAAAATCACACTCTGCTTTAATGTGGTTGCCCTTCTTTCGTGAAAATAAGCCACTGCTCACCATGCCGCCTTTACAACGGGTGGAATTCCAAGTACCGTATTTTTCGGATTATACCTCGCTCCCGATTATAAATCGCACCAGCCAAAAAATGCATAGTTAAGAAGGAAAAAACATATATGATTCGCACAGGAGTATAAGTCGCAGTTTTGGGGGAAATTTATTTGATCAAATCCAACATCAAAAACATACATGTCATCTTGAAAGGCAATTTAAAATAAAAATAAAATAGAGAACAACAGGCTGAATAAGTGTACAGTATACTAACGTTCATGACTGACATGCCTGGTAATGTCAGTAACGACGTAACATATTAAGAGTTATTCAGATAACTCTAGCATCAAGAACATGCTAACAAGTTTACCAAACTATCAGTTTCAGTCCAAATCACCAAATCCAATGAAATCTTCATCCTCGGTGTCACTTTTAAACAACTCCCCCAACTCGTGAGGTAGACGATGCACCGCTTCCTCTTCTACGTCGCTTACGTCAGACTCATCATAGATTTATCAACACAGGCCGAGACCACCCTCTTGTGGTTTAATGTGAAATAACACGTGAAATGACGTAATCATGTGTTAATAATTTTTCACATAAGTCGCTCCCGAGGATAAGCCGCACCCCCGGCGAAACTATGAAAAAAACTGCGACTTATATTCCGGAAAATACGGTACACTTTTGCTATGCCGATGACTTGTTGAGCTCACAGCCTAAAGACGCAGGCGGAGAACTGTGGAGCGGATGTGACCTTCCTGCCGCGAGCAAGACAGGAGGGGCTTACATTGAGACTCCTTCACAATTCTGATTGAAACAATCAGCCTCTTCAATTTGTCTCCAATGTGTGTCATTTCACGGCTGTCGCAAGTTAACGTTAAATCTGACTGAAAGAGGACATTTTCTTCTCTGAAAATGTTTGGAAGCAAACCGTTCACCCCAAGATGCACAGAGCAGTCATTTTTGTGAGTTCCCGTTGAGACAATTGGATCCCTGATATTTTTGCCTATGTTCTGTGACAGGATCCTGTGATCCAGAGGTGTCTGGGTTGTCTGAAGGAGGCAGCCGGCCAGATGGACAACTTGTACACCACAGCGCTGATGTCCTACACTTTCACCCTGGCTCGGGATGAGGAGATGAGGGCCAAACTCCTCACCTACTTGCACCAGCAGTCCAGTACAATGGGTACATCATAATATGACTCACTCAGTGTGGCTTCGCTTTCAAATCATTTCTGTTCTTGCGCCTCTTGAAATCGACAGTCACAATAATAAATATGAATTTAGCTCTGACAGTTGGAAGCAAAGCTGAGTTTTATAGTTTCGCATTTTATTGTGCTGCCCTATTCTCTCGTTTGATTCCATGTTGCTGATTTCAATTGTTGAACAACGCAATGTTTCCCCAGTCATTTCTGATTCATGTTGATCGTTGATGTTGTCGTGGCAGGGGGAACCCGCCACTGGCACCGAGAAGGCGTCTCTGGGACAGGAGTGGATTCTCTGGAGGTGGAGATCACCTCCTATGTGCTGCTGGCGCTGCTCTCCGGGCCCGCCCTGCCAGATTACATCTTGGACTATAGCTCCGGCATCGTGCGCTGGCTCACGCAGCAGCAAAATCCGTACGGAGGCTTCTCTTCCACGCAGGTAAGCAAAGCTGCGAGCGGGAGTTTGGGGAAGGTTCGACCATTCGGGCAGACTACTTTGACTCTGTGTGCTTGCGCTCCTCAGGACACCGTGGTGGCCCTCCAGGCGCTGGCGAAATACGCCGCTGCCACGTACAGCGTTGGGGGCAGGACTGTCGTGACGGTAACGTCATTAGGAGGTTTGGAAAAGGAGTTCATAGTGGACCAGAGCAATCGGCTCCTGTACCAGGAGGAGGAGCTGAGCGAAGTCCCTGGAGAATACACCGTTCGAGCCGAGGGGCAGAGCTGTGTTCTGGCACAGGTAAGATCTCACTTGGCAACGTATCAGAGTTTTTCACATGCACGCCTTTCACAAGCAAATAATTACCAGTTAATTAGCACTTGGTCCAGGTGTTAGCTGTTGTTGCTCGAGGCTTCAAAATCTGATCTTTGTCCTCGACTCAAGGGCCAACGTTTCCACAACCTTGCACTCGTGATCCAATTTCTTGTAACACAGTTCGTACATTACCTGCGGAAATCTGATTCCTACTGTACCCGCGATTTTGATTGTCTAGTTCACATGTGTCAAACTCAAGGCCCGGATGCCAGATACGGCCCGCTGGGTCATTTGATGTGGCCTGCGAAATACAAATAATGTGTTGCTAAATCTGTACCGAAATGTCAAATTGTCACGTGTAATAAATAACATTGAGATTTTGCAATCATTTTGTTACCCTGTTTAAAGTCACTTGAACAATAACTGAACAAACTATTTTAATCGGCTTGACTTATTTCAAAACGAGTAATGTATTAATTTGTTGTGTATAAGTAATCATTTTGCGGTCTCACTGTCATAATGGGCCTCTAAGGGAAGATGTAACTCCAAATTGGCCCGCGACTAAAATGAATTAGACACCCCTGGTCTAGTTGAAGCGTCCTGCACGATTGAGATGGAAGTGTATTCAAAGAACACACGTTGGTCGTGTTCCCTGCCAGATCTCCATGCATTACAACATCCCCCCTCCTCCTGACTTTTCTGCCTTCGAAATCACTGCGGACGCCATTTCAAAGTGCAGCTCCAGCAAGCCACAGCTCCACCTCTCTGTCAATGTCACGTAAGTGTGCGTGCATGTCTCTCTCTGCCTCGACAGATGACTCATTTTGTCAAATACGATTTGCGTCCATGGATTGTCCTCTAAAGCATTTTGAGCTCAATTATCGGTAACTTTTTTCTGCTGTGTCCCATATCGTACGTCCACATATAATTGCTATAATGTTTTATGAATGATAATGCTGTCAAAGAAATACTTTGGAGTTTGGTGAGACACATTTGTTCGCAACTTTCTTGTTGAATGAGTATCTTGGCAAATGAGACAAAATGGTGAAGTACGCGGATGAGAAATTTGAATTCACAATTTGCATTCTTTTAAAAGAATTCATCTTATCTGACAATTTGGAGGACACTCAACCAACACTCTGGCGGCATTATCAAGATCAGGGATGGCCAACTTACATTTTTCATTGGTGCTGCTGCAAGGCAACGTCAGACCACGCACGCACTTCCTGACCAGATGTATGACAAAAATGCCCTTTTAAATATGGACAAAATACAGACATATGTTCCCCTCATATGTTTCACTTTTCAAAATATGCAAAGTAAAGCAAACAACAAAACAACCACATGCTCTGATTTCTTTCCCCTCAAAACGTCTGTGGCCATGCTTGATTTTGAATCTGTTTATTTCTTGAGAGTTGCAGAGAAACCATTTTGTGTTTGCAGTTACCAGGGTCGGAGAGAGGAGACAAACATGGTCATCATTAACATCAGACTCCTCTCTGGACACATTTTGGATCAAAGCTCTCTGGAGATGGTAAATTCTGATTTTTTTGTTCTCCCCTCAAATATTGGTGTGTCACCTGTTACCATTTGAACTACGCTGATGGTGCTTGACTGTGTGATGCTCCAGCTCAGGAACAACGAATCAGTGAAGCGTGTGGAAGTGGAAGACGGTTATATCAACATCTACTTGGACCGGGTAGGAGCTTTTTTTTCATCTCTAAAATGTCCTGGATTGAAATTCGATGACCAATGCTCAAAATCAATGGAATCGCATTACAGTACCTTTACACACCTTTGCAGATTCACACACAATTGTCTGTACGTTCCCCCCCTCTCCTCCCCCGAGCACTCTCACCTGCACAAATTGATCGGAAGGAGGCCGATGAAAGAGCATGTATGCAAATGATTTGTCTGTGATGAAAACAAATGGCATTTCGCTATAATTTAGTTCGTTTTACAGGCAGATGAAGTAGTTTCAGTTGTTGTTGTTTTTTAAAGCACTCTCGTTTTTATGAAATGTTTGACAATAACCTTTCCGGGTCACATATAAGTGATCGTGTGTCGAGTAACTGTGTTTTATTGATGAGATTGAGTGATTTCAGAGAAACCTCAAGCTGTTAAAATGTGACAGTTTTCTAAAGACACGTCCATCAAAGTCCATGAAATGATATCGAGGAGAAAACGTCTTTTTTCTGCTGAGCTTTTTCCCTACCCAAATTTGATATCGTCAGTCAATGACTGTGGAACTAATTCGATCAGATTCACCCTGCATGTCAATTTAAATTGAGGCTTATTTTACGAAAAATATGTTCTTTCACATTTCAAGTGACACAAAATGTGGGCCGTCCTCCATTATTTCCTTCAATGGACCGCACAGGGCGATGATGCCGCAGCATTCAGGTCGCAGATCAGGCTATCACCTTGCAATAGAAGCGCAAGCCCTTTCAGTGGTGTTCGTTTTGTGTTTGCAGCTGACGAAAGGTGAGACGGCGGTTTACAGCATGACGCTGGAGCAGGACATGCTCGTCGAGAACCTGAAGGCAGCTGTGGTCAAAGTCTACGACTACTACCAGCCAAGTAAGATGCTCTTCTGCTGCAGTCATGTGTCTCCCACATTTTTCCAATGGAACACCGGCTTGGAATTCAGTCTTGTATCCAACGTTTTACAGTTCATATTCTTTTCTGTGTGCTCCTTTTCCTTGTTCCCCTGTCGAGGATGTTGATCTGATTTTATTTTTATTTGCAGCTGATGTGGCCATGACTGAGTACACATCCCCCTGTGAGAAGAGTAAGTCACCTGCATGATATGGTGCAAATTGAAGACACACACGCACACACAAACACACGCACACACAAACACACGCACACACACACACACACACACACACACACACACACACACACAAATCAGTTAATCAGTGATTGATGGTGCCAGTTTAACTGATTAATTATTTGTGTTGTGTCCTGTAGGAGAAACAATCAGAGAAACAGTTGAAGATGAAGTGCCATGGAGCATATTTGACTGGCTTCAAAGGTTGCTCCATATTTGACTGGCTTCAAAGGTTCCACTCTCATTTTAATTTGAATTTCAATCAAATCAAATGCTTATACTAGTTAAAAAAGATATTAGTGATTTTGCTTACGCAGTACAAACTGGGTGACCAGACAGTACATAGTTAGATGGAGAAATAACAAAAATTGTGTTTGCTTTGCAGCCGACGTTAGCAACGAGCGGTCAGTGAACATTGAGGAGACTATCAGATTCATATCTGGAAGATCAGATGTTCATCCAACTTGTTGACGTGTCTTTTTCTTTCTTTTGGGGTTTGGATTTTAAGGGAATCGCCGTGATTGCAAATGATGTTCTTTCCCTTTCTGTGTTGCTTTCTTTTCAAATCGGGCGATTCACTTCATTCTGTAGTTATTGCTTCCGCTCAACACTGGACATCTTTTAACATGTTCAACCCACTGGAACCAAGAAAATCAGACTGCGCTCTGTAACTGGTTTCATAGGGTTGACAAATCCATGTTTTTCAACTCAAAGTGGAAGATGATACATTGCAAGGGACCAATAACTGCAGGAAAAAACAATTAAAAAAAAAAAGAGTGCTGTCTGTGTGGGGGTATGGGGGGGTGTTTTTAAAGAAGATAAAACTCATCACAGCAGTATTTTACAATTTGAAATGTAACAATCATGAAATAAAATTGACAACAATAAAGAACATAATGAATTGTCATAGTGCTTCATTTCAATCGTATACTTCCATTCAGGCACCTTTTTTTTATATACAGTATCTTTTTACTTTGATTCAAGACAGACAACATCAGCATATCAACAGAAAGGATTTCACAGCCTTGCCATTGTCAAATTTGGTTTGCACACGCCAAGTGTGCAGGAAGAGAAAAGGCCAGGAAGACAGAATATGTTTTGGTCTTTAGAATAATTTTAGGAGGTGTAAAGATCACTGTCTGAGGCACAACAATCTTAAATTATTATGACTAAACTCCTCAACCACGCACAGTTCCAGATCCTCCTCCCGGGCTTGTTACAAACTGGCCTTCTTGTGTGGAGTTTGCATGTTCTCCCCGTGCCTGTGTGGCTTTTCTCCAGGTACTCCGGTTTCATCCCACATTCCAAATACATGCATGGCAGGTTCATGCAATCCTCTCAACCAGGGGTGCTTAAACCTTTTTGACCTAAGATCTACAATCGATCAACCAACCTCCCGCGATCGACCCGTTCCTGCGCACGTACCCATACAATTGCACATACACACGCATGCCATGATGAGCAATAGCCTGACGCTGAGGCATGCGACGCACTTCGGCAGCCTGTTAACGATTGTAGCTCACGCGAACCGTTTTAAAGTGCTTCTCTTTGCCCTCCAGATTCCCATTCTTTGCCCGTGGCCTCGGTTAATTGAACATGAAACAATCTCTGAATGAGAATAATGATATCGATAAAAGATATAGCTCAACAGCTCTGATCACAAGCTGCAATTGCAGACTGCTGAGCGCTAAAAACTTCCGGTGCTGCAGGTCATGTGTCACCGTAGGTTGAAGATGACCTACTTTATTTTAGTTTCTTTATTTAATACTTTTTGTGAAAGGGAGACTGATAGGATGATCAGGGTGCAGTGTGCAGTAACACAAAAAATATGTTCCTAACATGCACGGAGACACACAAATGTGTGTTTAGGGTGTTTTTTCTCCCTACACCCCTCGCGATCGCCTTGGGACCAGTCCACAAGCTACCGGTTGATCACAATTGACGGAATGGGCACCCCTGCTGTAAACTGTCCCAAGGTGTGAGTGTGAACACGGATGGTTGTTCATCAATGTGTGCTCTGCGATTGGCTGGCAACCAGTTCAGGGTGTCCCCCGCCTACTACCCGAAGACAGCTGGGATAGGCTCCAGCAAACCCCGGGACCCTTGTGAGGATAAAGCAGAACAGAAAATGGATGGATGGAGGACTGGAATCCATGCAGCCAAGACACACGCTATAAAATGAAGACAAAAGAGTGCTGGACAAAATAATGTTTTTCTCCTTCATTTAAGTTGTAAAATGTAGGTCTGTGATTCTGATAGTGTTTGCGCCTGTTGAGAAGGCCTCGAAGGCCCTCTTAGAACACCAATGTGACAAATATGATCAATTCTTCGACAGCAGACTAATCACAACCAAATGACGGTCACATTTTGATCGTAAATGTGGCAGTGTGTTCATGAAAACTACTTTTCACCGCCCTTTTCACGCACCCATGCACACGCGCACACACGCATGCCATGATGAGCAACAGCCATAACGACCACTAATGTGAATGAAACAGAAAAATAAAGTAGATGCAAGAGATTGTGATCAGGAAATCACTGCCTATTTTAGTAGATCGAAGCTCATGTATACCGTTTTGAAATGCGTCTCCTGGCACTCCAGATTCATTCTTTGCCAGTGCCATTGGTGAATTGCGGGTAAAACAAACTTTGAATGAGAAAAATTAAAAAAAAAAAAAAAAAAAAAAGATCACAACAGTTTGTAGTGGACTGCAATGTGCCTGCTGACTTTCCTTTTCCCAGGAATGACTTGGATGGAAGAAGCTGCCGTTTATTTTTTGATCACATTTTGTCCTAGTTATGTTTTTCCATTTAAGACATTTTGTCATGATTCGGTTTCGGACCAACAGGTGGCACTGTAGGGCTCCACCTACAGCTGCACACCTGTTGGTCATTAGGTAATTAGTTGCATAAAAGGACTCCCGCCCGACCACTCATGGTCGGGTCATTGTTGCTCTTTGCTGCTGTCATGTTTGTTTGTTTGTTTGTTTGTTTGTTTGTCTGTCTGTCATGTTTAGGTTATGTTTTTGATCATGTTTTTGTTATTGATAGTTTTGAGGTTCAGTCATGATTTGTGTTTGATACTTTGGACTTTGTTTGTTTTGGATTTAGTTTTCTCTGTTTTCATACAAATCTTCAAGTACACCCTGCTCCTCCCTCTTGCCTGCTTTTTGGGGTCCACCACCACCTCGCTACGTGACACATTTGCTAAAACAATACAAATAACATTTTCTTGTCTTGGTGGCGGGGTTTGGGGAGCAGGTGTTTTTTTTTTTTTTTGGTGGGGATGATGAGATGTGTGACATGCCATTTGACAGACTCAAATTTACCTCACAAATCCTCATGAGGTGTAGACTGCGCTCCATCCTGCCTAACACAAGCCTCCAGTTACAACCTGGGGTATATCCCAGGATAATATCAAAGCAAGGCAGGAACGTTGCCAAGAGCATCAGAATGTGAACTATGGCAGACCAGCAAACACCCCAATCACGACTTCACACTGTATCTTACATCCAATTCCAGCAAATGGAGAGCACATAGAAACCTGCGACAATGATCCAACCAGGACAAACTCCTTGGATCTACAACATCAGGATTGAGGATGGATAAACATTCAGGTACAACCGATGTCACCTCAACAAAAATCATTCATACCAGGGATTAGTGAGGAGGATACTGAGCATGATAGAGAAAACAACCAACCTGAGTCTGTGAGCGAATCAGAGCATTCAGAGTCTCGTCATCGCTCACGATATTGGATAAAGCCAATGCAAATATTTGACTTGCAAAAAAACAAACAAAAAAACCCCACCCCTGTTCATGACTTCTGAAATGGTTACAGGAGTAGCTGAGTCAACACCGATGAATCTATATGACATGCTTCAATTGTCAACAGTTCTCAGCAACTTAAAGAGTTACAATTGTTGAACATTGCAATATTTCGAATTTATTGATCATGATTTTATTTTGTTTTCGTGCACCTTAAGTGAGAGTATTACCATAGGTCCCACAGCCTACTGGACTAGAAATTATTTTTTGACACAGGAGTTGTCATATTTCGTGAATCAAATGCTCTTATTTTGTCATGTTCCCAGAATTGTATTCAAGTGCATTGAAGATAACTGAGAATAAAGCGGCAATGCAGAGTGATAAAAGCCAGTCAAGCGTGGGACTAGTTTTCGATAAAATACAGGACACATCGAATCTATTTTAATCATAAGAGTCAAAGCAGTTGCAGCTCCTGTGATGTTTAACATCGCGCCTGGTGATAATTTCCGCTGTCTTCAAATATGTGCATGTGTTGATCATATTGGCACAATCTCATAGTGATGCTAACATGGTTGTAAACATCATTCCTTGTTAGGTAAAGACCACACTGCCCCATTGAATGTTTGAGTTTTTATTACTCACGTTGCTCTTTAAAAAAAGTCCTCATGCTTACTTCATTCTGCCCTCGCAGTCTTTTTCGTTGGTTTTATGTTTGTGGCAGGTAAGCAATATCCTTTCTGATCGATGTACTGTTTCATGATACCCGATGATGAATCGCGATTCATCCGGCCGGGGTTTCTTGAAAAGAATCCATGTTTGAGCTTCGGAGTTAAACAGCGGTATCTTTCTTTGGTACTTAAATTGGGCTGTCAAACTAACTAAACACTCAAACTAAACTCTTCTTCTACTCACTATTAGAGGACCTCATTAGCATCTGCTTCCAAAGTGTGGATATGAATATTTAATCTTATAATTTCATGTTTATAGCAAATTGTTTAACTTGCAAGCTGATGCAACTGAATGCACATCTTACAAACTTCTAACCGGAGCTCCGGAACAATAATCAAGCAGTAAGGCTGCATATTTCCCAAGAAGTGTTTAGGGAATGCAGAGAGAGAGAAAAAAATAACCTCTACTCCAGTACAGCCTTTAATCATTGTCTTTGATCCTTCTTGCAATCTAATGTGTGTGACGTGGTGACTGGAAGGCTTGAATCTCAGTCGAACGGGAGGTTTCAGCTCTTTTAATGGCAGCCACCCCCACTGGGAGCAACAGACTGACATCAGTGCGAGTGACATCTTTAAGGAGGACCAGCATCTTAATATCCAGAGGGGTTGACTGCCACTAGAGACGGCCTGTCTCACTTTGCTGCATGTGTGCTCTTCCAAAGGCGGGAGGGTGCGAGTGCTATGATGGTGGAAGCACTGTTATAAGATTAAATAACATGTCTCGTCACAATCATCTGGTTGTTCCTCCCGCTGGGAACTCGACATGCCCGATTGCGGGTGGGGTTTCTTTAGCAGATAGCAAGATAGCAAATGTAAATCTGCCTGCAGACATATGAAAAAAAAGACTTTGTTGAACATACCCTGTCTACTCGGGATGCGCGGTACACGTGAAATTGCCGAGCGTTTCACAGAAGTGTTCAGCCGTACATTGACAAAGGACTGTAACCGGTCTGATCAAAGGTACAAAGATGAAGAATTGCCATGGGCGCTGGGGGAGGAGATGGGCGAAAACATGAAAGGCTGCAAGACAAAACAGGAGAGTCACTCTCAGGGGAGGCAAGGCGCTAAAAGAAACAGATTCTAACTGTTGTGAAAATGAAAATAAAAAAGGACTAAATCGAAGAGATCACTCTGAAATGACAGAGTGGATTGAGGATGCTGTTTGTGTAAAACTCATGACAAATTTGAGCAAATTGTTTTCCCGTACCTTCTCATTGTTATATTTTAAATGCAAATTCATATTCAGGAACTTGTTTCTATGTTAGTCTCAAGGTGATTCCTATTCCAAACATTTTTTCCCAACAGAAATAATTCCCTGGTCAATTTATCCCTGTTAGAAAGCC